AGTGAAGGCTCCCTGGACTGGATGATATGCACTACACGGCCAAGCTTGTCCCCAGGAAGCTTGTTGATGTCCAAGAGGCCTCTTTCTCCTCGTTCCTTTCCCCCTGTAGCTGATGACTCAGGCGGCCCCCAGATCTGGGAACCGGCGGCTGGTTGGAGCGCATCCCTTCCTATTTATTGAGTTTCTTCTTGGGTACAACCTCTTTGTTGTTATTGTTACTGGTCTTGGTCTTCTTAGAGAGCTGTGGAACAGGTGCCGTATCTCATCTACAAGGCCAGACATGCCTAACTTTTCTTTTTTCTTCTTCTTCTCTTTTTTCTCTGGTTTGCTTGCTAGTGGTTGGGACCAGGCATCCAGCTGCTCGTTGACAGCTTTAAACCGTTCCTGTGTCACTGCCAAGCTCTGAGCTCTCTCTCCTCTTCAGAGTCAACCCTTCCACATGGTTGCCCCCTCTTAGCTGATAAGTCGACTCAACGGTTGTTTTATTTGGCTACAATTTCTTGAGTCAATAGTCATTTTTTAATGCTTTTTTCATGCTGACTGACTTATATCTAAGGAACGTATGAACACATCTCTGGTAAACACAAGATTTAAATGGTGCTTTTGTTTGATTCTTTGTGGAGAAACTCAGTTTGACAAATCAACAAAATCATACATATTCATAAATCAACCTCACTGAAAGGGTAAACCGAAACTTGAAGGCCATGATTGAATCATAAGTGAAGGATCAACATCATCAAAGTCGGGACAAGTACTTACCCGAGTTCTTGTTTTGCCCTCCACATAGCTGTTCATGAGTCTTAAGGAGCGACACCTGCATAACTTAATGTTATCCGGACACCGCAGGGCACAGTGGACGCCGAGCTGGACCCCTAGTTTTGTATGCCGGATGAACCATCCTATCGTAAAATGGCCCAAATAACAAATCTGCAGCAATTTAAAGAACCCACAGATGGCCAAGACCCGACAGACACACAATTCTGACCGATACAGGAAAAAAGCAACCGTTTGCGGAAAAGAACAGAGACTGGGTGAAATATCGACCATATTCCAAAGTGGAAAAGTCCTTCTCTGCCAAAATCGCTCCACGTTGGAGAGGGCCCTACAGGGTGGTGCGACAAATCAATCCGCTAAACTATGAGATTGTTCTGGAAGATTTAGACACTTGATCACTTCAGCATGTTTCTGTATTGTTGCCATATATTGAAGGTGAGTAGTGATAGGCGGCCTTGGTTCTGAAACAATGAAGGAACTATACAGCATGTTGAACCACATCAAATAATAGACTTCTACAAATGGTGTGGAAGAAATTATCATTATTTCAAACTTCCAAACTATCTTTAACTCAGCAAAGAATAGTTTGACAACTACCATAACCCAAATTATTCAATTATCTATAATCACTACAGTATGCAGAGCATGAAGAGGAATTGTGTTGGGTAATAACACTAATAACAGTTAGTTAACAAAGGCGTGACATGAAACACCTGCACAGCTCTTTGTCAAACCGTGCATGATGGTAGTTCAGTGCAGTCATGGTAATTAACCACACCCTTTCCCATAAACTCCCTTTTGCATTGTGTTAAATACTTTAAAAATGGTTACTAACAAAAACGCTCTGATTTAGGAGCAATTAAGCCGAGCTATCGAAGCTTACTGTTCTCTACCTGATTGGTGGAACAAACGTTAATCAAAGAAACAACCAATCAGAGCCATAGAACATAAAACAGTCCTGTCTTCTCATTCAGTCACCTTTTCTTACAATACCAAAATTGTCTTTTCATTTATTGTTCATGTGTCATGAGCTTCACAGCTTCATAGGGCTTCAAACTCTTATTCTTGTTCCCGAGGGAGCAACGAGAAGGCAGAATCGGTCCAGTAAGTATTTTTAAAAGGTTAGCCTCAAACAGTGAGGGATTCCACACATACAGTAACAAGATGCATTTTATTCAGTGATACAACAGCCTGGGTCACATTTGTAACTGAGCACAATTTGCAAAAAGCTGTGGACCATGACTGTGTCTGAGTGGAATCAACCAGGTGGGTTTTGCCCAGCTTGTGGTCCATATTAAAGAAACAGTGACCCTTTGAGCAGTACATTTGTTTGGCATCTAACCGAGAGTTAAAGTGAGACATCACTTGTGTTTGTCCAGTAGACCACAAAGAAGCCGGGGACTTGTTTATCCTCGTTTAGCTAAAAAACTGAAGGCTGGGAATGTAGTCAGCTTAAGTCATAATATGATATGATATGATATTATACACATATACTGTATATTAAATTGAATGGGATTCAGCAGGTGAACTTCATCATTGGCTGAGACAGAGGTCACATTTGATTTTGTTTGTGCTTTCTCAGAGTACTGTTAATTTAACTTGGCCAATGCATCTGTGTCTCTGCTTTGTGCCTCCCTCGTAATATCCTCCTGCTGCACAAACATCATCTCTGTGTGATGAAGTCAGCCACTAGATGGCGCTGTACTCCACCATATTGAAAGTTCAGCACACCTTACAAATCTTCTCATGGAAAATCCAGCAGCTGCAAGGCCACTTTGTGTGACTTTTCATCATGGAGGGTTGCATTGAGGTAATTAGAAGGGACTTTTGTTGTCTAGTCGAAGACATTTTTCTTTTTGATATGTGACTGTTCTTTCTTCTCTCTGTTACCAATCCCACAGGACATTTGTTGGACCGCAAAGTGTTGAAAACCCACTGTGTTTTTCTGCCTGATTGTGGATCTGAAGCTTGCTTATAAGCAGATATGAAGACAATGTATAATTTGCTGCCAGATCTTTTCTTGTTCTCTGCATCATTGGACCACATGAGGATTTGTCCACATGTGGCTTGTTGGGCAGTTCAAATTTGGAAATATAACTTGTGAAAGCATGACTTTCTCACATGGTTCTCATTTGTAATCCCTTAGACATTTTAAAACTGGTTGAATTTAGTTTATTCAACTAGACAATTACTCTTAAGTTACATGACAAAAGATACTCACAAAGTCCTTTGCTCCAGAAAAAACCCATGATGCGCTTTAACACGACAAATAAACACTGAGGTAACAGATATTAAACATCCTGGCAAAAACATCTTCTGAGACGCTGCATTCAAGACACAGATAGTGACTCAACGGGGCATTTTAAGGAACTGTGATTATGTCAGGGGGGCCTTGTAAGGAGCTGCCACTGCCAAATCTCTATCTGCATATTTTAGTCATGGGGGATGCTACGTTTGAGTCATGACCAAAAGCCATCTAGACAAAACCTAGAGGAGCAGCACAAGTGCAGTCTGCTTTCTGTTTGTGTGACGAGGCAGCTCTCTGCGAGTCCGATCTGTTTACTGCACTCTAAAAATACCAAGTTGTTGCATTTCCATAGACGTCGTGTCTTTGTTTATATGGCGTCTTGAAATTTTTGGCAGCCCCGGACGTCCACATGGAAAGGAGCAGCCTCAGGAGGCGAAAAGACTTTCAGCTGTTTTAGACATGCTGGTGGTGGCTGTGAAACATGTAAAATGTGGAAATATTCAAACGGGGAATGATCAGATTTTCTAAGAAGTCACTTATTCCTTTTACATTGTAGTCTTACTTTCAAAGGATGTCAATCTGTTGAGCCCCACACCTCAAGTCAGCAGTCTGCAAGCTTTAATGCTCAGCCTGTGTAGTTTTTTTTATCTATATTGCTTTAAAGTAATCGTGTTTCCAAATACCTCTACTTATCAACAGGGGTGGAGTAGTTAGTACATTTACTCAAGCAGGTAATATTTTGAGCTGCACATTCTTTACTTGAGTATTTCTATGTTATACTACTTTATAACTCAACTCCTCTTCATTGATTTGACAGCTGTAGCTACTTTGGAGATATAAATGACAAGATAACCCGATTCATTGCTTGAAACTGCCCAACATGACATACAATCGACTCCACTTTGACTTCACACATTCAAAGTCTTTTTGCATTTTAATAAAAAGGTAGTGACAATCCATTAGTATAAAAATATATAATCACAGGGGCCATTCTGATGTATGAAAAAAGTATAGTTTGCTGTAATACCTTTGTAATTTCACTAAAGAAACTATTTAAATGTGGCACTTTTACTTGTAGTGGAGATACAGAAATAAAACTTGAAGCTTTATGTTTATACAGTGGCATCGCTATACATTTAGTTAAGTAAAGGATCTGAACTTCTTCCACCACTGCAACACCTCCATTATCATCACAGCTGCAAACCAAAACAGAATCTATTGAAAAACAGAGATTTCCCCTTTAAAGCACTCTGAAAACGAACATTATTGATTGAAGACTAAAAGGTTTCTTTGACTAAAAAACAAGATTCAGAGCAGACATTTTTGTGGAAGCTATATGCACATTAGGTTGTCATACCTTTCTTATTGAATGTCACTGATTATAGAGAATAATACTAATTCAAAACATGACCATCAGTGGTAGAAGAGGTAATCGGATCATTTACTTAAGAAAAAGTATACTACAGTATAAAAATGCTCCTTAAGAAGTACAAGTTATGATCTAATACTTACAAATTAAGGAGTATTAACAGCAATTCAGTGTCAAAAGTTAAAGTACTGTGTATGGCCCCTGTCTATAGTATTAATTTACTGTAATAACTGATGCATCAACATGTCAGAATAATCTCAATGTTGTAGCTGTTTGCAAGGGATATATATGTTTAATCTATAATCAAGCTTTAAATATTATAAACTGATCATAGGTTTGGCATGTTAATTATTATTCTGCATATTAACTCCAGCTGACAAACAAATGAGTAAGTATAAAGCAGCATCAATTGAAATACTTGGTTAAAGTACAAGTATCGTATATTTAGTAAATGGTCTTTCAACCCGCTGACCATAACTGTAAACGGCCAGAAAGCAATATTCAAGATGGAATTATGTGTTTATGCCACAAGCTCAATATCACGCCCCCTTAGTGCAAAGTCAAGAAGATTTCTACTTGAATGTGCATGAAAAGACAGAAAGCTGTATGTAGCCTAAAATATATATCAGCTTTATTGAAACCTTTTACAGGACAAAAAGTTGGCAAAGGGTTATACAATAAGTGCAAGGTGTAGTTACTCTAATAGGATAGAACATAGTTACATGGAATATAATTAGTTTGCACATGTTACAAGAGCAAACACATTAAAAGTCGTGTTTCTGAAGCTTCTTTTGAAGAAGAAAACGCTTGTCGGGGTTCATATTGGCTGAGTGTTTTTTTTAAATTTAATTTGTTTGAAAGGCCTCTGGGGTTTCTTCATTCATTTCCTTCAATGCATAGTTTTCTCAAGTCCAACCAAGAAAGCTACTTTGGCTGCATGTTGGAGGCAAACATGTGAAAGCGGACGCCACGATACATCCAAAACTGTCCGCTTGTTTGTTCTCTTGTGACGGAGCTGCAGTTTCACTGTGACCGTCGCGCACGCGGTGACGGGGGCAGCTCACATCACGCACGGTTTGATGTCCTGACAGACGCTCTGGGGATGGTGATGGTGGTGATGGTGATAGTAGGATCCGCCAGCCGAAGGGTGGAAGGACGAGATGCCGTTGAAGTTTAACACAAAGTCTTTCCTGTCGCACACCGAGGAATGGCTCTGATAACGTGGAATCCCCACTGCAGAGGAGAAAGTGCAGATATGTAAATGAAGAGGTGCAGACATTAATATTCATTAGGCTTTATAAGTAGCCTAATAGTTTTATATTGAGCATCTTAAACCAAGTTTTTGCGAAATTATTCGGCACAAAAAAAACTGTGTTGGGGTGGGGGTAGATATGGTTAGTTGTGAACAGAAACGAATGTTTTTAGATCGTCAAAATGAAATGTAGATTAGCCTGAGACAACCGCAGAATGAGTATTCACGTTCAAATGTGCTTTTAAAAGGAATACAATTGACTGGTGCTTGTTTTGCATAAATAATAATTGTTTATAAAAAGATGGGCAATCATTGCTTCACCTTTTTACAGATGAATTTGCAGTTATATAAATTGCAAATTTATTTAAGAGCAGAAATAAAATATTTTAAAAATATATTTGTTAGAAATTTGCCTAATCTGCCTACCTTCCTAAGGTGACAGTGCATTTAATTCCAGTTATTTGTATTCTTAAAAGCATCGCACCTCCCTTTAGCTATTTATTTTTTATTCAATTGGATGCTTTTGTTTTGATTTCTAACTAAAGTAATCTTATCAGTGTATTTTTGTCCCCTTGGAGAGCCCCAAACCTGCAAACATATTTAAATGAGGCCGTCATTTTGTGTCTGTAAGTGAGCCTCTATTTCCAGAAAGAGAAAAATAAATAGGGAGGCTGTGGCTTCGTCAAGGTCATAAGGACTCCAGATGTGACTGTGTTTTTCAGGGGAAGACAGCAGGCTTTATCCTCCGGGCCACAGCTCGCTGCCCTACACTCGTTTTCACAGACAACACACAAGCCTCTGCCTGACAGTACAGTTACCGACCCAACACATTTACCCTCCGTGCAGGCTCAATTAAGACGCTGCATAAAGTTTAACAAGGCCTGCCGTCTCTTGTGGATACGCGCTGGTTGAAATCCTCCGCCGGTGTGGTCCGAGCTGCAAACGCTTTGTTTAGTTAACCTCTGGGACCCTTTAGGCTCCAGCATGGGTAACTCGCCTCGGTGAAATCCCCTGACTTTAGTAAAGCCTCGGTGTATTATGCTAAAGCAAATTAGCGTGAACTGGGGAGGTGAATTAAGAACGCGATCACCAAAAAAAATAGCTGTTTATCTTAATCTATTTATTAGCACGTGCACAGATGTGGTTTAGAAAATCCCGCAGACTGTGGATTCAAGGGACACATTCACGCATTAGAATCTGAATGTTATTTATTTATTGGCCTCAAAAACATTTTGAATGATAATTTGGCTGGACCAAGCTTAGGCCAGGTTTTATTATTTAACATTGAATGCAACTTTATTATTCAATGCAATGAGTTAAACAATTGCGAAAATGTTTTTGTTTCCCACAGCTGGTGAGTTTAGTAAACGCTAAAACGGAAATAATTTAGGGTTAAATACAATTAAAACAATTGAAATTAGTAGTCATAATTGACAGTTTTTTTCTGATATGTAAACTTTTGCATTTGAAATAAAAACGAAAATCCTGAAATTTAAACATTAGTCATAATTAATATATAATTTGAGTTTTCACTCCTTCAAAACATTTAGAATTTGTTGCAGGCCTCTGCTGCACTTTGCAACAAAAATGTTGCTGATTGCAGCCTCTGATTGAGATCAGATGGACATGCTGTGAGGATTGTTTTATTATTTATTAATTTCTATGATAACCCCCAAAGATATTTGGCGGGGTTCATCATCCCCAGTATGAACCATGCGCGAGTTGGTGGTACCTGATATGTCGGTGCTGTGGCTGTCCCTGCCGTTCTGGTGAAGATAGCTCTGCTCCAGGGAATAAGGCGACATGCCGGAGTGTAAACCAGAGGATGCGGGGCTGCTGGAGGTTAGAGGCTGCTGTTTGATGTAGGGGGACCCGCCGGAGGACGCCCAGTGTGCGGATGTACTGGCGTACGGGGAGTGGCCGTCCAGCGCGCTGGCCATGGCTGGAGAGGACGGTACGGGGCTGCTGCTGCTGTCCGGTCCATAGTCCCCGTTCGACGGCACAGGACAGCTCGCCATGTACGTGGAACCGGGGCTCGGGGACATGTGCGGTACGTGGTGGCCACCGCTCAGCCCGTCGTATCCCCCGGCCATTGAATTACTCATCATGTCCAAGTTGTAGCCGTTGCTGTGACAGGCGAGAGTGGCGGATGGAGCTTGAAAGTCAAAACTCTGCGGCAGGATAGAGGTGCCGAAGCCTATGCCGTTCATCATCCGATACATGGGCTTCAGAGCTTGACATTTTCTTCTGAAGCCTCTGGGTCTGCGACGAAACGAGCCTTCCTCGAACATGAACTCACTGCCCGGATCGATGGTCCAGTAGTGGCCTTTCCCCGGCCTGCCCAGCCCTTTGGGCAGCTTGATGAAGCACTCGTTCAGCGAAAGATTATGCCGGACGGAGTTCTTCCAGCCCTGATATGAGCCCCTGAAGAACGGGAAGCGAGCTTGGAGGAACTGGTAGATCTCACTGAGTGTCAGTCGTTTGGTGGGGGAGCTCTGTATTGCCATAACGATGAGAGCGATGTAGGAGTACGGCGGCTTTTCCGGTCGCCGTAAACCGGAGCCCGTCTTCTTTCCTTTAATGGCGGTAGACGAACTTTCTGTGGCGGCTTGTTGGCTCAGCATGGCGGGGTGCAGGGCGCCGGACGCCGGGCTGGATCTCAGAGGAGGCGGAGGGTCCAGCTGCTGCTGAGGGGTCTCGGTCGTCATGTCAGCTCTGACGTACGACTGGCGTAGAGTGAAGAGAGGGAGGGAGAAAATACGAGCTCCGAGATGTTTTAAAGTAGAAATATATTGGGATCCAGCGGTCAGTTTTCTTGCAAGCTTGCGTTACACCGCCAGTGGTCCTCAGAATCCCAGTGCAAAATGGAGTGAAATCTGTCTCCCGTTACGCACGACTCTCCCGTTACGCACGGTGCTTCCTTGACGCATGCAGAACGCACGGCGAGTACGCACTGACAGAGAGAGGAAGAGGAAGAGAAAGGGAGGGGGTAGGGGGTAGGGTAGCTGGTTATTCACTGGAGACTGAGTGTCCAGGGTTTTAGCACGACACAGGGGCTCCACTGGGTGTCACAGCGGTGCTAAGTGGTGCTGCGTGGCGCGCGGGTGGCCATCGACCGCCTTAATAATCCCTCAAGTGGAGGAAACACGAAAACCCCTCGACCTATTGCGCGCAACAGTCCAGCCAAACAAAGCTCGACCACCTATCATTTCATAAATCTTTCTTCCCTCCACGAGAGCCCCCCCCCCACACACACACATCCCACCCCTTCTCCTCATCCGCACTCTGCGCCTGCAAATCTCCCTGTAATCAGTGACGAATAGAACACCCCCCCCCTCTCCCTTCATCCACTCTCTTGCCAAATCTGGCCCAAGTCCACTTACCGTTCTCAACAGTGTTAAAGCCCCTCATTTTATCCTCTCCTCGCCTTATTCCTCCCCCTCCCACCCCCTCTGTCCAAGTTCGGACTATACACGCAATTAGGCCATCTATCAAACCTCCCCCAGACATCCCAATCAACAGCGCCACACGCCAGACGCACACGTTTAAAAAACGAATTTTTCCACCCTCTCTGGTCCTGCATCTATGAAGTTGTGATTTCAGCCACAGATCATACATTTTCCTGACACGAATAAACCACCACAGTATGTGCAAAAGGTTCAACTTGCAAAGTGAAGCCATGACGACACATAACATTCACTTTGGCCTACGTGATATCTGCGGCAGATGATACCCAAACGCATCGCTGCGAAGCAACAAAAAGAAAAAAAAACGCACCGTCTCGCATTATTTGTATTATTTTGCTCATAATTTCCTCCCAAACTGGTCCAGAGGATAACAAAAACAAACTGTCGCGGTGCCGGGCTGGGGCGAGGAGTGTGAGAGATGGAGAGGTGGTGGTCTTCACTGTGCGTGTGTAAGCGGGGGGTTGCTCTGAGTAAATGACTTTGACATGAGTGGAAGCAGGCTTTTTCCATCAAGCCCGGCCCTGGATACCACACACAGCGCGCCAGTGTCAGCTTACCGCCCCGGGCCAGAGCCGGTCCCATGGGCCCCACGTTCATTAGCGAGAGAAAAGCGAAATTAGGCGAACGGGCGTCGACAGTTTCCTCCCCTATGGAGACATCACACACAGATTTGTCCAACATGATGGAGTTATATATCCCATAAAGGTAGTATCAACATCCGTGTTGCGACGAAGCGGAGATCATTGAAGAAAAAACATCACTTTTTGTGGCTGTCACTAAACCGAGATTTTTTTTTTTCTTGGTTGTGTTCATACTTGTCACGATTTATTTTTACTAAGCTATTTGTACTCGGCACTATTTCAGCTTATAGTTTAAGGTACGTTTGATTGCTTCTTTTCTTTATCACAGGCCCAATATACTGATGTTTGTAAGAGATTAAACAAACCACAACACCGTGAAAACTTTGCAGGGAAAAAATAACAGTCACATTTTATTTCACACACTCAAACCTGTGTCTGTGCACGTGTGTTGCCGACACAACCTTTTTAAGTTTAGATGTAGCCTGGAGGATTTTCCAAACAATAACCAGCAACAACAACCTTTGCACTTTGCACAACAAAGGATATGCGGATAAAATCATTTTCCACCATGACACACACACACACACACACACACACACACACACACACACACACATACACAGAGCACTTTGGAGGATCTTAACGGCCCCAGAAATTTCCTGCGACATCAAAACTTATGACCCCCGCCGAGATCAGGATGCCTCGGCTTGCAGAGGGAATCTTTGTTCTGCGAGCGCTTTGAAGACGGCGCTCCGGCTGCTTTTACGCACCGAGATTATATGAGCTCCTAATTTAGCCTTTTGGAAATATGATGTGATCGGCGGCCACCACGAAATCTATTCAGAGTTGTTTTTGATAGAGGAGTTTGCCTTTGGAGTACAGTCTCGGCTGGAGGCCCATATGAGCCTGTTGCCGACACAATAAGGCCTTCTGTTTGTTTTCATGTTTAGGCTGAAAGATATTGTTCGCCCCCCATAAACTATTTGGTAGATGCGATTTCGAGATTGTTTTTATCGGGCTGTCTGACCGCAGGTAACCTATTTCAGGTCATTTTAAAATAAAATACGGACGGCCTATGATTATATCACATTTAAATGGAAATACACTAAATCATAAGGAATCTCTATTTGTGATTAATAAATACAAAAATTTAAAAACAAGTTTTTCCCAAATAGTCAACAACACAACGTTTGTACATAATAATAATTAGGGTGGTCTTAAATGGTTTTTACTCTATACTTATATGTAATATAGGGCTGTAACAAACGTGATTCATTGAATAAAACAATAACAAACACAGAGTTCAGCTCCTTTTAACGGTAATCTAATATTCTTTCGGCTCCGTCTGTGTTTCCTGTGGCGGTGCCCGGAGCTTTGGAGCTGCCTCTCCGGGAATCTGGGAGGTCATGCGCGGTTCATTTTGCCGGAGTGACAGACTGTTTGGACTTCCTAACATTGTGCCTGCCTTAAAGTTTGGTTTCATAACACCGTGGGCCTTATTTGCACAGCAGCCAGCCCTGGAACAGGCCCGAGTTCCTGCTCCTGCCGATGTGGACCGGGGTTGAAACAGGCACCAATTGAAATGCAGATGCAGAGAAAGGCAGTTTACAAATATGAAGGATGCGCGCCATGACAACAAGGACGTGAACAATGAGGGGATACCGAGAGCGTTAGAGCCACGTGACCGCCCCCGCAGACAGGTATGCTGTTCCGGCGTTTCACCTGCAGGTTGCAGCATTGTCCCTGAAAACAGGAGCAAGTCTCACCTGTCACCTGTCAGACTTCTCGGTGCGCTCTGAACATAGACCTCGTCTTCTGTTTTCGAAGCCTCAACGTGCATGTGCATGACGATCAGCAGGGGCACATGAGATGTAAAGTACATACCTGATCAGTGTATACTCATTATACAGGTGTTATCAGAACATGGTCAAATGTTAAGATGAAAAACAAAAACAAGATGACAGGATATTTAGTGTTGAAATGTGCAGGTTCGTTTGAACTCATCCATCTGCACCGGAGGAGCTCATGTCCAAAACTCCAACATCAGGTTAACAACATTTTACAAATTACTTGAGTTAAGTCATTTGATATATTTTACTTATACGATCTGTTATTTTGAATAATAATAAAAGTGTTACACTCGCTTTCCATCAACTTGCTTAATAATAATAACAATGATGATTAAGTAGCATCCGTATATTTGGGTTTCATTTTGTGTCCTGTAATTCTTCTTATTTTATAAATGCATATAGCATTACCTTATTATTTAGCAGCCATGTTTTTGAGGAACACGCTGAGACTGAAGGATAGTGGTTATTTGAAAATAACCTTTGGGAACTTGTGTTGGAGTCAACAACGGTTTTCTCGTCTTTGTATTGAATTTAGTCGAATGGTTTTCTTCAGAACCATACCTAAGACTTTACATAAACTATTGCTCATGACTGGACCAGAGGCTGATGAGTCTGGGGTCTGTTTCAGGACCGCGGAGAGCAACTGCAGCCTCCTCGGGACATAAGCAATAAACAGCCTGCAGGAGTGTTTGGTGTGAGCATGTCATGGAGAATAATATTGTGTGTATATTCGAACATATGAAATACAAATATATAACATTACTATAAATAATCAGAACTGAAAGTTGTGTTTTGATGACGAAACAAATTGAGTTTACTTTATATTTTGTTTACACGCTGTGGGCACGTTTCACATCGCATCTCTATCAAATGAAGTGGGGCTTTGTTGGAATGAAAGTATCAATATTTGAATATTTGTTGTGTCTCTTGTTTATTATAAGTTTGTGAAAAAACACTGATCACGATGTAGAAACCATTGCACAAACACATTTTAATATAGTTTAGTAAACAATACGTGACATTGTTCATATTGTTATTTTGATAAATCAGCAAAAGCATTCATATCAATAAATCAAAATATGATAAACATTAACAATCATTTTAATAAAACGTTCATTTATGATGAGGGTAGATAGCTATATACATCTTGTTGTGAAAGATTTCAATTGTAGCTCGTGAGAAGTAGTTCTTTGTTTGAAATGTATTTTTTTATGTGACAGGATGTGTTTTCTGGGATCTTTTCAGTGAGCTTGGCACATGCATGTACATTACTTTATAAATAACATGACAATATAACAATAATTTGAACAATCACATTTTTATGTTAAATCCTTATTGTATCTGTTATTTTAGTTGTTTGCTGTGGTTGTTGCCTTGATTGCAATAGATTGACTTTGTTTTTCCATTTTAATAAGTCGCAAATAGTCATATATTTTAATTTGTAAAAATCAGTACTGAGGGAATCGGTGTGAGAGGCAGTATTCTGGGCTTTTATTCTATTATTTGGACTTTGATGATTATGATTTTTTAGTTCATTTTCAACAGATTATAAACCAACAATTCCCCGCCCCCTGTTATTCCCTTTGCAGTCAAATCTACCGCAGACCTTTCCTGTTGAACAGGTGTGCGGCCCATTCACTCCCGCCCCTACTGATCTGTACACCTGCTTCTGATCTCCAACCCTCTCTCTTTCATGTCTGTATAATGAACATCTCATTGAAGATCAGGGTCCCATTGTTTCACGTTTTTATTCATAAAAATACCAGGCATGCATGAATCAATCTTAAGAAAACATCAGGCATTTCCATGCGTTTCTAGTGCAGCACGTGATTCTCACCGTAGCTCAGTCAATAATTAGTTTGACATATATACAAGACAATATCCTTTTTTATACAGCAGGTCATACAAAACATGAAAAGAATAAATAGATTAATAGTATTATGTTTCAACATGGCGCTTGGTTGCCGTTATACAGTGGAAATGACCAAAGAACCATGGATACACTCATGCACATACACGCACGCACACGCACACGCACACACACACACACACACGCACACACATACACGCACCCACATGCACTCGCAGTGGAATGTCCTGCGATGACAGCAACTATTTGCCAAGTCACCAAACAGTTGACAACAGGCCATGGTCAATTTTTTTTTTCACTGCAGAATGACTTACAGTACAGACCCAAACAGTTCAACAGCTAAAGTACTGAAAGCTAGGAGCGCCCACAAAAGTGCACATCATGGGTCAAAACATACAAGTCTGACAACAGTCCGGGTGCTTTATGACAGCAAGGAGTCTATATGGAAACCTCGCGCCTTGTTGGGCATCTTGCGCGCGTGGAGAGCGGCCTCAGGTGCAGCCATGCCCGGCGCTGTCTGCTGGAGGTAGTACGTGAGTGCATCTCTGCTGGGCTCTGTGCTGCTGTACGCAGCCTCTGACAGGTACGTGCGCTGTGCCGGGTAGCACAGAGTGTAAGGCAGTATGTGGGCCCCTGGGGACCAGTAGAGCCGGGGGGCGTGGGTTTCCGCATCGACGTGGCTGTCCTCCCTGCGTTTGAAGGGTGTGCTGAGGATGCTGTCGATGGCGAAGGAGCTGGAGAACTTGGCCCCCACCCTCTCCTCCGGGGCGGGGAGGCGGGTGTCCTCGCTGAGGATGTCCGGGCTCTCCCGCTCCTTGGCGGACCTCTTGGCGATGCGCTTCCTCCTGCGGCGGAACACGCCGTCAGCGAAGGTGTACTCGCTGTGCGGGTTGAGCATCCAGTAGTTGTCCTTGCCCCATGGCCGGGACGGGTCCCGCAGCACTTTGAGAAAGCAGTCGTTGAGTGACAGGTTGTGGCGCACCGAGTTCCTCCAGCCGGTGTAAGTGCCGCGGAAAAACGGGAACTTCTTCATCAGGTAGTCGTTGATCTCTGCCAGAGTGAGGCGGCCACTGCTGGACTCCCGGATGGCCATGGCGATGAGGGCGATATAGGAGTAAGGAGGTTTGGGTCGGCGGGTGTAGGGCTTCCCTTTGCTGCCTTCGCCGGTCTGGGTAACAGGTGCCGGGCTGTTGGCCACGCAGTCCCCGTCCGACCCCAGATCGTCCCCGGATAGAGGGGACGGGATTCCCCCCTCTGCGTCCATGCACAACTCCAGCGGCTTCTGCGTGAAGTGATGTGCTGAGAAAACTTCAAGTTTCATTTTCCCAAAAAGAAGCGTGATCTTTAAGCAGCAGAGCAGGTGTAGCAGTCTTGGCAGCAGAAATGACTCTGTGTGTTTGTGTGTTGTAGAGGCACGTCTTAAGCGCTGGAGGCACCCTGATCCTCAGTCTGGAGCAGTAGAATACAGATCTGTCTCCGGAGACACGCATGTCTTGGTATAATATAATGCCTCGGCAAGGGACGGCCCACAGGCGGGGTTTCCAGCCCGAATCCATTGAAGCGATTGAGTGATTTAGTGTGTATGTTTACAATTGGACGCTACCATGACACGCCAGGGAAGAAAGAAAAAGAGGGCAGTTATGAAAAATAATTAGTCTGTCTGTCCTTTATTTTTCAAAAATAAAATACAATATATAGCCTACTACAGGCAACATTTTACAGTTTAAGACGCACTTTTTTCTGAACTGCATTTTGTTCCTATCACATAAACGTATTCTGCTCGCAAGATTGACAAAAAGTTGTATCAGTTGCCCTTTTGCTGTCTGGATTCCAGATTCAGTGAAATGCGTAAAATTAGTCCAAATACATTATTCTTTTCTTGATCCGGATTAATATTTCTCCTCTTTACTCGCCTTTTATGAAAAAAATATCAGAAAAATTCTGCAGATGGAAGAGAGCGGAATACATGGAGAAATAGACAAGGTGTTTACAGCTGTTCACTTGGACCTGTTACTCCCTCACCGGCGCTCCAGTGGAACGGGGAAGTAACGCGGACGCACAACTGAAATGAAAGAGATGGGTTTGGATGACTACCACGTAATACACAATGGACAACAACAATGATCCTCTATTGTTTAATGTTTCTGAAAGTATAGGGCTTATTTCTTTTCAGAAATAGATCATAGGCTATTTAAAAAAAAACACTGTTTGAGTCCTCATAATCCAAATTTATAATATGAAGAAATTGATTTCTTACCAGGGTCATATCATAGCATATACATGAATTCAGTCCAAGTCTCATACTTTTGAATGAGAAGGGCCGGATCAAGACACTTTTTGGTCCTATAGTTCCTCACTACATGCAGTGAAGGCTTGCGGTTATTTTCCTGGTGAGGCTGCAGGTCTACTGACACTGACGACCTCTGCTTGTCCCCTCTGGCTTGTTGTGCAGTTAGTAACCAAGACACAACAAAATCACCATGAACCAAGAGTTCTTGGTCCAACAAGTTGCCAGTTTGTTTGGTACGACTGGTTATAACTGCCCCGCAATACATTCAACTAACAATCAGAGAGTCTCAGTTTATTTGTGTTGAATCTCCAAATGGTTTGTACTTCAGTATATTGCTGAAATTCCCATCATAATGCTTAAAAGCTCAAAACTAATGCAGTAAAATATAATTGAAAGTCTTTAGATCATTTCCAAGGTTGGCGCCTCCTGGTGGAAGTATAAACACAGACTGTAGGTCTAGTGCATGTGCATTGTGTGATTGCAGTGCATTAGATCCACACAACAACCTTAAAGAGTGCACACTTACACATTACTTTCAAGCTACAAACTAAATTATATGACTGTATAGCAATAAACACATAAATGCTGGTGTTGGTATTGAAATTTCTTACCAAATTTATAAAAATCGTTATTTTATGGTTGAAATAGATCAATGGGTGCTCCGGAGACGGAGGTGCAAAACCAACAACGCCAAATTAACCTTTTTCTACCCCCCCCCTAGTTCGGACTACCCCCATCTTCGAACCCAGCCTTCATTTTGATCCCAACATGGTTTCACCTCTCAGCCCCTTGCCCACTGCCACACATCAGGTGGACTTAGGTTAAGACCTGGGGGTGAAGTCACTCTTGAACATATGAGTCATAAATCAATGCCATGTCACATTTGTCTGCAGACTTTTAGTCAACAAGCACATTTTTCAAGGGAGCGTAGCTACCCTAACAGGTTTTAAGTAAACGGACATCCCGACACCTGTAAACCAAATGTCTTTCCCACTAACTCTTCTCCTGCCAACAGCTTTCAGCCAGTTGATGGTGCAGAAAGATGCTGGAGAGCTAAAATGAGTTATGAGCTTTGCCTCAGGCCGGTAATAATCATTAAACTGTCTTCTCCAGCACTCCTCCTATCTCAGCTGCTCGGACTTTGCTGGGACCTGAACGACTTAGTGTAAGTTCAACTATACATTGTTCACATAGTGTTTATGAAAACATTCATAGTGGCCCTGTAATGGATTTTGGGAATTATGCTAAACAAAAACCACATGAAAGACCCCTACAGGAATGAAGAATTTTATAATGATACCATATATAAGATATTCCAGTCTGATCCCGACAGCACTGAGATATGAATCTATATTTCGCATCGTGAGCGGTTTGCGTATCTACGTGTTTCAATTGTATGGCCTAATTATCACCTTGGTTGTATATGACAGGTATGATTACAAATCTCATCGTACCCAGAGCGGTTGGTCTTTGTGTGAGTGTGGGAAAGCAACGGAATTCGGAAGGCAAGTCGATCAATTACATGTACAGTCTGTCTGTGTTTGACGGCTCCTTTTTACATTTCTTTCAAACAATGTTAATCTGTCGGTTGTCACTGTTCATCTCAGGATTTGAAATGGAAAAGTTATGGGTGCTGGATTGTAATGTGTATCGGAATCAGCCAGTTTACTGTGGACCTCTGTAAATGTACAGTATGGCTCGTCAGCGGGGTCACTTAGTATTTCGTCCATCTTTTAGCTTGTTATGGTACGTACACATGACTGAAACACTCAATCTTAGGCCTTCTGATTGAAAAAACATGTAACATTTCAAATGTCAAAGTTCACTCTTGATCTCGGAGAGAGTGGTTTGACAAAACTCAAGATCAACTTACCAGCTTTTCCAAGAGCCTTCGACCATATCGCATGGTCGTCGTCAGCAGATGGACTTTGCTCAGTTGTCTTGAGATGGATCTGTTGACATTGGCTGTTTAAAGTAGGTTTTAAATCATACCACCAGCAGATCCATCTACAACAAACACACTCCATCCACTGATAAGGACCTTGTGATTGAAAGCTGTTGATTGCAGGAGGTTTTGAACGGTATTCTATTTAGTTGAGGATAAGCGAGTATAGCTAACGGGTGGATGGACGGCCTAAGAAACCAGAGGTCGTCAAACATCCTCTGATCAAATTTAGATTTTGGAAACAGTTTCCTTCTCTCACTGTGACATCGCTGCAGCAGCTGGAGAGTTAAAACCGAAATGTTTTTGTTGAAACTCAGGAGGCCGACCGCTGTGAGCCTAAAACCAGAGCTGAGGAAAGCAGCGGTGTGCGTGCTATCATTATCACCGACACCGTACAACACTGTGACAAGGCACACTGAGAATGTTACACCGCCGGGATGGTGGTAGGTGTGCCTGCGTGTTTTTTCTTCTTCTTTGCAGCAGTTTGATGAGGCTGTATTTGATTTCAGGTACTCTGCCAAGGCGGCTACACACACCTGTGCTGGAGTGATTTGGTGTGAAAGGCAGCACACCTGTTTTCAGTTTTAATCTTCCACATGGCAATTTGAAATCCGAGGTGGAAACACGATTTCCCCACAGGGATCAGTAAAATATCATATTGCCATTCTTCTCCGGATATTCGGGTTCATTTCAAAATGATATGACACAGTCCGGATCATCTTTTACCTTCTGGTTCTAATGGAAAATAATATATTTATTGCAGTAAAACTGCTTTAATCGCAAGGTCATCAAGGTCAGAGAAGTCAAGTCTGCTCAACAGCAGGACTAGAGAAACACATCACGCTTATATAACCTGTTAATGTGTCGCTCCTAAAATTGGCACCTTGTTGTTTAAGCTCACCTCAGATTTAAAGTGTCTCCTTTGAGCAAGAGGAGAAGTCTCTTTTAAGTGCTGACAGGAGTGGAATTCCAGTAATGTAAATTCATTGGGTGAACCCCTTGCAGCTCCAAAAATAGCCCCACCTCTGCTGCGGTCTGTGCTCACACGCTAACCCTTGTCTGCGTGTCTCTGGATGACTTCTTACCTGTATCTCATCTTTCGTTTCTTTCTTCTCTGTGAGTGAAGGGTGTCCAACCCCCCATGTCTTTGTATAAACAAAGTGCGGGCTGTGGGTGAGCAGGGCAGGGAGGAACTGCAACAAGACGTGCTGCGTAGCTGACATTCCCAAGATTCCCTGCAGCAGATCTAGTCTCTGACAGAGGCTGCTGATAGTCAACATGCTGCTTTTGGGCGCACTGGTAGGTACGGCAATGTGTTTACTTCACAGCCAACCTAAAAATCAGACATTCCACATCAATTCCACATATTCCTGTACTCAGCACAGTAGGCACCGGTGCAGGGGTTTGTGTATGTGGGTGTATGTTTGTCTGCAGCTGTGCGTCTGCTCAGGTGTGGGTGTGAAAATGTGTGATATTGTGCATGTACTTCGGCTATAGAAAAGTAAGACGAATACATTCCATCTATTCTTTGAACAGTGATTACTGTCATTACGCGACAATGCGGCCCTCTAAATGTTTGCTGCCTGCTTTGTTGTGCGTCTGTAGAATCATACCTTTGTGTTTTCGAAGATAAATGGTGGTGGGGGAGCCTCACCCATGTAATCAGAAGCACACCTGAACACTGAAGAAGTGACAAACAAGAAGTTCCCACAAAGCTGTTGTGATACATAACGCAAGAACTTTCCTTATTGAATGCACTCACCGGCATCTGCTGCATGTGGCATAAAATGTATTGTTGGATACCTGATATAGACACAGAGACACAAATAAAGTATGTGCAGTGACTCAGAGTTTTCATAAGCCTGGTTTGATGGGCGTAAACTCTGCTGCTTCTGCGTCAGCGATTAATAAATGAAATCTGATGAAATGAAGCAGCGTATCCTCCAGTCAGTTGGCAGCCTGCGTTGCTATTTTGGGTTTTCCTGCATTCTTACCTGAGGTGCTCACACCCTGCCAGACCAACAGCATGAAAAAAAAATAGATACATATAAATAAACGGAGCCAACAAGCATACAATTAAAGTAATTAAGGATAGAGGTGAAATACAGTTGAGGCACAGGTGAAAGGCAGCCTGGCACCTCCAGTACCTAAATCCCACACAAAGGCAGTGATGTAATTTCGCCCCCCCCCCCCCGTACCTTATTGCCTCGATACATGCAATAAAACTGAATCCTAACTTGATGGTCACACCACCTCTTCTATCTCTGTATGTTGTACAGTATATATAAGTGTACATTAACATATCTTGTCTCTATCTGCATATATTTATGCCTACTTTTATCCTTGACATTGCATTAGTGTGCACTATCTCCTGAACACCTCTGGTGCCTTTGATATCAGATGGTGGTCTGCTGTCTACAGAAACTCAAAACATAGCGCCATCGAGGGAGAAGCAGACCTGAGTGCACCCCTTAATCCTGCCTGTCAAATGTAACTGTTAGTGCGTGTCTGTCAATGAACCGCCGTCATGCGGGCAACACAGGCTCAGTACCTGCCCTATCTGCCGCTATCGTCCAATTCAACTCTTCACACGCTAGAGTCCCCTCGCATGCCGAGCTGGGAGGGAGTGTGAGGGAGGGAGTGTGAGGGCTTAGATAAAGAAGAAAAAGGAGCAATGATTGATCTTAGCCATAGACACCTCGCTTTATCGCTGCAGCTGATAGGACCTACCTTCATTCAGCAGTGTGCTGTAGGCTGTTTTTGTGTAAGCATAAACACAGGGCCAAATCAGTACCTGTGCTGCACTGTTTACCTGGCAGCCGTTCAGCCCTTTTCTGTCTAAACTTGAAATAGGATCCAAACACTCTACTCACGCATAGTGGTTTGCACGAGATGCTTCGCCTGCCTATTTTTGCCTCATTTTTACCTCAACCGCCCCTCTTATTTCTTTGATTGAGAGGTGGAACATCTACCCCGGGGCCTTTATCTGCAAACTTAGCACGGATTTTGAACAGTTACCATGGAGTCATACCACAAACAAACCCAACAAACATCTCACTGATTGACAACATTAGTGTGTGGGATATATTTAGATCTCGTTCTTCTCACCAGTATGTATTACCACAATTAACAGTTTTAAAAGGGGCTATCACAGGCCTATAACCTGGGCTTTTTAGCTTATTTTATACATAACCATTGGCGTCTTATTCAGCCCATTATAGAGTGCAATGTAGCGTGAAGCTGTATATTTTTCATATTTTTGCCATAAGGGTCAATAACTTACATTTTATTCTAAATAGAGTTTTTTGGTGATTTTTCAAAGGTGTTTATAAGCTTTACTAAAAAGAAAAGAAAGGTGTTTTGTTTTCATGCAATAAGCCTGTACTTTATTCAAGCTGTGGATTGAAGAGAAAAGAGGATATTTTAGGTATCTTGAGATATTACAGTAGTGCAGCACTTTAAAGGGGCACTCCACCAAATTTACAGTTTACCCGTAACATAGATTATTATTCAGCCCATGAAACACGTTGCACTATTATGTCTTTTGTGGCTCTGGAGGGATTTTTCTTAAAGGGAAACTATACAGATTTTGGAGGTTGACATCAAATCATCATGTGCAGTTGATTAAATAGTTTAGTTATTTACTTCTATGTTCAGAGAGGCATCTCCAAATAGACTGTTAAGAAATGATAGATTCCTAACCAAATCATAACTACAAACATAATAAATGCCGCATTTCTGTCTGTATATCAAGTGACCCATTGGTGGGTCCCCACCCAAAGTACAGAAACTCTAGGCTAACTATTTATTTTCAAAGATGTAGAGTTAAATGTCTTTTCATTTTCTAATCTCTGTAGACTTTACATGGCTCACTGCAGGGGTGATTAGATACCTGGGCTCCTGAGCAGATGCTACTGTTTGTAGTGAGTGCTATTAGATATTGATCCGGTGGTAATTCGTAAATTATTATCATTAAGGATCGGATGTTTGATTGGGGAAAAAAAGTCCTAATCTCCTCCAGCTGGCTGTTGGGCTATAATGTTTCCTGCCTCTGCTCCTGCATTGATCCACCGGAGCAAACAGCAGCTGCATGGCTGCACAGCAACCCCCAGCATGAGAATCAGATGCTAGAACAATCAAGGAACACTCTCCTGGATAATGAAAAGGCACTATACGCTGTGACCAGCAGTTTGAATTCATTCAACTTTGTTTATGAGAAATCCTGTTTTGTCCTTCATTTTGTCATGACGGACGGCTCTAGATACTGCATTAGCGTTGGCTGTCCTTGCCATGGAGAAGAAGCCAGCCAGCGGCACGAACCAGAGCAGTAGCAAATAAAAAATTAGTTGTTTCAGTTGGGAGCAAAAAACTGCTCCATCGCTGCTGAATTCATCCAAAAATGACAGAAATGAAAAGTTAACTTGTTTTAAGGTGCAGATCGTAAAAACAGTTTAATAAATGGTGCAATCTGCCCGCAGTTAGTGGCGCGTGCTACAGAATCTTAAACTCAGTGATTGTACGTTTATTTATGAAATGCATCTTGGTAGTCGTACCAGTCTTTTTATCGATTTTATCTACTGTGCTCGTGATTTAACCGGGAGAGATTTATGCCGATGTAGAAATGTGAGTCATATAACATTGTCTACTTTTTATGTACTTCTGGACACCAGGGGTGCCCAAAATGTATTGACACACGGAATTGCTGTTTTTATGTGTTGACGTATGTGTTTCATTTTTGCTCAAAATGGGTTAGCATACAAATATTACGTAGATATGGTTTCTTCAGGGGATTTGTCAATGATTATCACAAGGCTTATCCATCCACTAAAACCTTATCATCGGTTAGGATAAATGCCACCCATGTGTCAGCTGCCAATGTTTAGCAGTTTGAGTCTACCTTTTTGGTGTGAGTTTTGGCACAATCCCCAACTCTCCCGTTTAATTTGGAAATAGATCCGGCTCTTGATTGTACATTCTCTAAGATTC